CCGGGAGCCGTGCGAGGAGCTGCGCCTGGCGCTGGTGCAGCTCGTGGGGCTGCTGGTGGAGCGCGGCCGCGGCGCCGGCCTGGCCCCGTATCTGCCCGACCTGGTGCGCGTGCTGCAGGCCGCCCTGCTCGACCCCTACCCCGAGGTGAAGCGTGAGGCCTGCCACTGCGCCACCACCTGCGCCCGTGCCCTGCCAGGTGCGGCTGAGCTGTGGGTGGAGCGGGGGGGCAGGGAGGCACAGGGCAGGGCTACATGGGGTGCGGAGGAGTCCCTTCTGGATCCTGCTCTGCACAGAGGCGGACGCTTGACATCTGCTTGTCGTTGCGCAAGGGCAGCGGGGCAGTTGTCCTCTGTTGATACGAAACTGGACGCCTTTGCATTCTCTGTTTTTTCGATTGAAGAAGGTCCCACAGTCGCAAGACCATTTTAGGCTGGACACGAGGAAAATGTCAAAGTGGCGGCATCCCTAGCAATGGGCCTTCTCTCTCTCTTCAAGAGAAAAATAGAGGCTGTAAAGGCATCACATTTCATATTCGTAGAAGACGGAAGACAACGGGACTGTCCTCTGTGATGGCCGCCCGAGCATCAAGATGCTTTGAAGAGAAAAACAGAGGACGTAAAGGCGGCGGGTTTCGTATCAATAGAGGGTGGAGGAGCAGAAAACCAGACTGTCCTCTGTGATGGCTGCCCTGCTTGGGGGGTGCTCTGCCTCCAAACTACAATCTCTGGCATGTAGGAATACGCGTGGGTTGGAAAAATCAGCCTGTCTTGTGCCTGTCTCCCCGCATGTCTGGATAAGCCTGGGCTGCTCCCTGCCCCATCACCCTGTGTCTGGATCGGAGCTGTTGCATCTATCCCCTTCTATCCCCCTGGCACATCTGGTTTGGCGTCACTCTGCCCCTACCACCCACATGTCCACATCGGGGCCACTCTGCCCCAACCCGCCTTGCACGTACATCTGGTTTGGGATCGGGCAGTGCTCCATCCTCTTCGGGCGGATGGATTGGGTTCAGGCTGCACATGCTCTTCACCGCCCCCCGCACCACCAAATGGGGCCTCATCTGCTGGCCCCACATACTGGTTTGAACCCACCAGCCAGATCCAGCCCACAGCGAGACCTGGTACTGTCCATCTGGCCTGCTGGACGAAATGGTTGGGCACTATTGATATACTTGATTCCTTCTAAACTCTTCATTTCTTAGGTGTTAACAATCTCCTCTCCATTTTTTAATGGGCTTTAAGGTTTCCCCTAATCAAGCTAGTTTTTCTTCTGCAGTGGTGCTGTCTGTGAGCTGTTCTCGCAGGCCTTTTTTTAACTCTAGACAAAAACATTGACTCAGGTGTGGAAATGCTACCTCAGCTGATAGATTTCATAGACATCAGGGCTGAAAGGGACCTCAAGGTCATTGGGACGTGCCCAAAAGGCAGGAAGTCGGCTAAGGTCAAAGGATCTCAGCCCAGATGAGCATCCAAATGTTTCTTAAGTGTCCAGAGTAGATGCTTGCATCACCTCTGGGAGAAGTCTGTTCCATGCCTTGTGGTGTCATACAGTAAGTAAGTTTTTCGTCATGTCCAGCCTAAAATGGTGTTGCAGGACTTTGTGACCGTTGGACCTTGTCATCCCTTGGGGTGCTCTGGTGAACAGGCATTCTCCCAGATCCTGATGCATGGCCCTTATGTACTTATAGGCTGCTACCAAGTCACCCCTGAGCCTGCTCTTCTCCAGGCTGAAGAGTCCCATAGCTTGTAGCCTCTTTCTTAATAAGGTCTGTCTTCTTGCCCTCTGATCATGTGCATCTCTCTCCTCTGGACTGTTGACTCTCAGTGAAGCACTATCAAGATGCTCAGGAAGAGTAGATTTAGTTTTATGAATCGGCAAGATGTCCATTTAATTCTAACAACTATGGGGCTAGTGAGACAACATCTTTTGCTTATTTTTGCCTAGTGTGTTGCGCTTATATACAAAATAAGAGAGAGCAAACAAAAGCACAATTCAAATAAAGGGGTTTTTTGTTTTGTTTTTTTCCCCCCTTTGATCTTAAAGTGAATAAAATAGCTCTAGGCCTCTCACTTATTACTACAGCTCCTAGTTTCTTTTTAACTGTAGAAAAATATACTGGGTGCAGGGGTGCATGTGGGATGACGCATAATCCTTTTCCAGTCCTAAATCTGCCCATGGAAGAAGGTGCCTAGTTCGGAGGATTATGGAGGTGCTAAGGGGGCTAACGGGCCTGAGAAGAGGGTAGCTGACATGCTGCCCTTCCATCCGAATGCATGGTCCTAACGAAAGCCATGTGCTGCATAGACATAGTGGGATAAACACAGTAGCTATACAGTAAGGGGGAAAATATATAAGTCTTTGCTGGCTGTGCACATGAGCAAAGGTCAATGGAGCTTCCTCTCTCTCCTCTCCACAGAACACTTTCACATGGAGTCAGAGTTGCTGATAAAACCCTTAATGCAAACCATTTCACACCAGCACTTCAGAGTTCGTGTGGCCGTAATTCAGGCCACAGGAGCAGTGATACAGTTTGGCAACGGGAAGTCTGTGGATGACGTGCTCTCTCACCTAACCCAAAGACTCTTTGATGAAATCCCGCAGGTAATGTTCTTTCCTTTTAGGCAGATTTTCCCGTTTGTTTTTGTAATTCTTCCCTACGTGTCACAAAGCTGTGACAACATGCAGTGTGTTATGTTACCCTTTTAGGTTCGGCATGAAGTTACCAGTGTCATTGGAGAATGGCTATTGCACTTGCAAGATAGATATTCTTACTTTCACAAGCTGATTCCTGTGTTACTCGGCAGCTTTACTGATGAGATGCCTGAGAACAGGTCAGTGGAACATAACATGCATTTTTTCCATGCATATTTTATATCCGTGGAGGGCAAAATGTGGCCCCTGATTGCCCCTGTAGTGTTCCACATGGAGCCAAAACCTGCTTGTGCCTGCTGACCCAGCCCCAGCCTGGCCCCAGTCCTAGCCAGTGTGCACAGCTTCCCGGCGGGGCTGATCACAGGGTAGTTACCAGGGTACTGCTTGGCTCTCCCTGCCTCTAGTAGCTCCTCCGTCTGCCTCTGCTGCACTGTTTTGGGCAGCCGGTAGCATGGTGTGGGGAAACAACAGTGACCATGGGGGGTCATGCCAGCCACCACATAGCCACCCCGGTATCTTCTGAAAGGTTTTGTGTTCAGCCCTGGATAGCTCACCAAAACTCCATTAAGTGGCCCACCAGCCAAAATAATTTCCCACCCCTGTGCTATATGAAAGTAGCTCTGCTCTTTTAAGTACCTTGAAGGTGTTCAGGAAAAAATCCTCATCTTTTATTTAGTAACCAACTGATCTTTACACAGCTTTTATGTCACTAAAGAAAAAGTTGAATGTTGCATTCAACTATATGCTCTTATTAAAAGATTAGAATACAAGATGCATTATTTTTGTCAAAATATTTTTCCCCTGGCTTGTTATATTTTATAGAATTTAATGTTAATTAAATCAAAATAAATGTTTCTTGCTCTCTAGTTTGTATAAGTGTAATTATCAATGGCTATTCAAAGATACTTTTCATGTGATTAGAGGCAGGTGTTTTCCTCTCCAGCAGCCTGTTTTTAAAATTCTTTCACTGTGGATGTATTTTAGTCATAGTGGCTAAAGCACTTTGATTTTACACTGTAGGCAATTGGCTCTGAGTTACTGGAAGAGGGTAGGCTCACAGTGGGAGAAGGAAAATGAAGAAGACCTTAAGGATAAACTTAACTTCAGTGTTGCACCATCTCATTATCCTGAAGGAGGTGAGTATTGTAGGAAGCATAAAGAAAATGAAACAGCTGGCTCACGATTTTTTTTATAATGATATATGTGTAGGTAAAAGGTAGTGGTAGAGAAAGGGAAGAGAAAAGTGGAAAAAAATAACACTTAAAGGCAGACAGTTGTTTGTGTGCGAGGTCTCAGGACCAATCAATATGTATGTGTTTGTTCCAGGTAGGATTTTCAGAAGCGTTCAGTGTTGGACCTTTATTGACCAAAATGAATGCTTTTGAAAATCCCATTTAAAGTCATCTATACACTATGGATTGTGTGACTTGAAGTTCTAGAGACTGTACAGGAAAGTTTCACAAGCTTACTATGGAATCTCTCTTATTTTTCCCTGTTGTTGTTATCACAGTGTAATATATCCATCTGAATTAAAATGCAAACAAAAAATGTTATGTTCATTTGGCTAGCATTCCTAGTTTATGCAGATTTTAATAAAGAACCTGAAACGCTTACCTCTTTGTGCAGTGATACAGTTCTCATGATTGTGAATAGATCTGATTTGTTTCTATTCTTTATTTTACTGAATTCTTTCTCTTACTGTAACAGTACATCAAGTGTTCCTACCATTGTAATGCATGTCTGCATAGCCAAACTTCTATTTAGTAGCCAGTGTATCTACTAAAAATTAAACTAATAACTCCAGAGAAGGTATGAGAACACATAGCGATTGGATACAGTGTTCAGCTTTCCAAGTTACTCAGAACATTGACTTCTTCCAGCATTGATTCAATTTCTCTACTGTTGTCCTAGGCCAGGGGTGCTCAGTCCCTGGCCCATGAAGCTGTACCATCCAGCCTGCAGAGCTCCTCTTGGCTCTGAAAATTTGATGGCCGGGGAGCAGCGACAGCTTTAATTGCTGCTTCTGTGCAGTCAAGTTCCTGTACCTGTGGGGAGCCTTGTGGGCCAAATAGTGTGGTCCTGCATGCTAGGTCACACATGTGGGGCTGGATGTGGATGCCACTTCCATTCAGCCAACCTGCAGGGTCAAAGATTTGAGCACCACTGTGCTAAGCTACATGAATCCCTGGATCAATATCTGTGTCCGTTTCATTTATTTAACATAACTTGAATTTTATTACATGGGCCAGATTTGAGGTCAAGGGGAAGTAGTTTTCCAATTTGGGAATTGGTGTACAGGCAGCCCTCGACTTAAGACTTTTTGAGTTGTGACAACCCCATTGTGACACCCCGTTTTGAAATTCTGACGTAGGTTTCATCTTTACCACGGTCGATACAGCTTGCAGCTGGTAAGTGGCAGAAGGGGTATGGGGGTAAGTGGCAAATCGATGCCTGCCAGGGTGAGGGAGGGGCTGGGGCTGGGGCTGGGGCTGGGACCGGGGCTGCTGCCTTGAGCCCGTCGCTTCCCCGCTTGATGCTCACGCGCGTGGGCCCCAGGACCCCTCAGCTCTGTGCAGCGCCCGGGAGGGAAACGAGGAGAGAGACGGGACGGCTGCGAGGGGTAAGGTTCCTTCGGCAGCGACCACGGGCAGTAAGGAAGAAGGGCTGCATTGCACGGGGGGGACACGCGCTAAAGTGTCACCACCTCAGAGGCGGGAGCATGGGGTGGAGATGCTGAGCCCCACTTCCCGTGGCCACGAGGGGACACTTGAATGGAAGAGACCTTCTGCGGTGCAGG